GTAGTTTAATAATATAACTGCGTTGTGCGATCGTAAGAGAAGATGATCTACAGTAGGGATCTTTACTAATATCTGGGGTTGGATGGTGCAGTGGTACACCATTCGGCCGTTTTCCCAAGTAGATACTGAGTAGCTTGACCCTACTCCATTCGAGACAGGAGAAAGCTGGTTCGAATCCAGTCAGACCCTTACACCACTCTCTCTCGCGCTGATATTTTATTTGTGGAATAACGAAAGGACACTCGGATAGCCACAGGTTTTTCACGCTTTTCCCTGTGGTGGGTATGTATGGAAGAGGTTATACGCCGTAAGGGTTACCCTCGAGTGGCATCTACGAATGAAATCTGAGTGTGAGTGTTCTAATCGTCAAATTGAGTCATCCTACTTAAAATATCTTCCGATAAAGACCTGCATGGGCCTCAAGGCGCCAAATCAGGTAAAATGAACTACATATATATATCTATATACTAATATCCTCGGCCCTTGACTCCTAGGAGATATTGAGCATAGCTTAGGACTTTAAAAATATAAAAAAAAAATACTAATATCCTAGTGTACGGCGCTAGCTCTTAGTCCCGTGACAGCGGAGGATAGGTTAGAATAAAAAAATGGGAAGGGGTCTTTGGTGACCCGCACAGGCAGGTAAGTCTGGCTTCGGCGTGATCGAAGCAAGTGGGATAAGCAGCAAAGTTTCCGTATCCAGTTCTATCTGCCAAAGTGATGCCCAGTGCTTTCCGGATTAGAAGAAGCTCCTTCGAAAATAAGGGGGCGTGCTTGATTTCAAGTTGAGCATGAGATGCGGGAATTTTTGTTTTCTCCCAAATATCCCTTATACGGGTCCTTGGTGTGATGTTCCATTTCTTGAGTGATGTGGTAGAATGTTTGGACGGGGCGAGGTATGGAACCAATGCACCCTTCTTAGCCTCTGAGTCGGTCAATTCGTTGCCTTCGATCCTAGAATGGCTTGGAAACCAGCGTATTTTGACATGGCCCTCAGCGGTGTGAGGAAGCCGGAGGCGAGCTTGCCATGTTTTGCCCACTTTTTGTATCTCGATGAAAGTGAGTTGTGATGATGAGGTAACAATAGGACTTACTACTAGCCTCCTGCAAACTTCGAAATTGTCCAAAAAGACCCATAGGTTACTGGCGAAACGAGCAGATGGGAGAGAGACGGCTGCCTTACTTCCTCGGAGAGCAGCATGGGCTTCTGCATCATACGGCTCTTTATTACTTCCCAGTGGGAGAGCATTCGAGCTAATTTTACAATCTAACTGGAAAATGACGAAGCCACCTCCAGCGTTTCCGTCCGGGAACTTTGGTCCATCAGTGTAGACGAGGATATCGCATTTGGGCATAGTGGTCAAGAAATTGGTGACGATGTTCGCTCTTGTTTGGCTTGGTCCTGACGGTGCACCAATACGCTTAAAAGCAATTTGCTTTTCTTCTTCTGCGTCCCACGGCGGGCTAAAGAGAGGGTCTAGATTCTCAGAATGGTGAATGTCTCTGCATGAGCGAGCGAGTCGAGTCAATGGGGAAAATGGCATTAAATTTCGCGCGCGCGATGATAGGGCGTGGTAGGGATCTAGACTACGCATTCAAAGGGCGGCTCTTCTTGTCGCATCGTCTAGTGCAATTTCTGCTGGGGAAATTCGCGCCTCCCTCAGGAGAGCGATGGTCGCGGTGCTTAGAAATACAGGAAATATAGTCCCAGAAGCAGTGGTATGAACTTTATCAAGTGTGCTGATATGGGAGTCGATTTTTTGTTACATCAGATTTTAATTGCGTGTGCAGCTATCTAGCTATGACACATTATCAAAGAAAAGTACAGAATAGATGATTCAACGTAAGGGAAGAGCACTCATGCCTCAGATTTCAATTGCAAGTACCACTGCGAACTTATGGCGGCTTTTTCTTCACCCCAAGTCAACCCTCATCTGTGAATACCCACCCAGGGAAACGTCTCAAAAACCCTGAGTTATCCAGACATGCCTCCGTCATCCATAAACTTTTCTCCGCACGAAATATAAACTGAGGTGTCTCCTTCTCAAGTGGAGTAGGTGCCTAGGCTACTCAGACTATACCGGAGAACACCACCAGGAGGCGGACCACAACGCCTTCAAAGTTATATCCTTCCTTTGTATCATCTTTTCAACTTGTCCTCATCCCTCTCACGTCCATCCCAACGAACTGTCTCCCAGATTTGTGCGCCACGCCTTGCATCCTCCGGCGGGTATAAATATCGGCGTGGGCATGTATTTGGTGGTCAACTTAGGCCAGAGAAGGTCGGAGAGAGGTGTGGTCATAGGGATGAGGATGTACTGTGTCGTACTTGTAGACTTGATGAGACTTAGGTAGGCGTCAAACTCGTTGGAAGCGAAAAAGCGACATGGTGGAGTAGTTTGAATCATTGCCTCGTGGGCCAACTTCTTTGATATTGCGAAATTTGACTAGACTTGGCTCTGGGAGAATATTTCACTCCCAGGTTCGTAAAAGGCACCGCGTACAGGTGTTCAGTCTTGCCCTCCGTGGCTCCACTTCTATGACAAGGGAACACAGCGTAGATGATCGCACTTTTCTTACTCACTGCTTTATTCTATTATATTTCCACCACGTTTTGTTTATGGTCTTTATTGATACCTTTTATATATAAATCATCAATTCACTCTTCTCCGCTCTGCTCTAAGTGATCCTCTATCTACTTCAACACCCCCGAAAGGAACATCGTCGAGGTCGCTATATCCTCAAGCTTCTTCTTAAGACTCCAGCATTCCGAAACCTGTTGCCTCGTCCATCGAGACATCCTTCGCAGCGGCGATGATCACCTCTTCAGCCCTATCTCGTGCCACCTTCGCGAAACTTCCCTTCCTCGATGTGACGAACACACGCGAGCTTTCAGCAACGGTTGAAGCCGTGATTGGCATATTCTCGACAGACATACCATTAAACCCCCTATACGAGCGGGGTATACCAGTTAGGAGGCATGCAGCGTGATTAGTGGTTTTTTTTCCACTCTGAAACGCTTGTGGGCGCCAGGACCGAGAATTCGACTAATTGGCCAGGATGGCTTCTATTGTCGATGAGTCAACGGCACAAGAGAAGTTGGGCTAAGTGTTATAATCTGCGAAGACATCCCAGATCTGTGCAGATTTAAGCATGCCAATATTTCATGCAAGTCTAAGGACATGGACTTGAGGACAACCCATAACTGGGATATCATAGATTTTTAATGGAATGGTATGGGATCGAATATTGTGGAATAGAATATGATGGAATGTAGTGGACAGTTTAGGAACTATGATATGGGTATCCAGGACATGTATATTATGAGATGTATCTCTCAGTAGTAGGAGAAAGAATAAGCCATCTGAATACAAGCGTTCTCCAGCCAACTCAAGTCTTTTCTATATCTACGTTGGTGTTCTACGAACAAGTATAACATCCTTCCAAGGTACAGATTCAACCCGTATGTGCTCATAATCTCAACACTAAGCTACCATACAGCGATCACGCTCTGTCAAGTCTTTTCTGACATTTCGGCACGACCTTCGGGAAGGAATTGGAAGGAGGCTAGAAAGGTATAGTGTAAATTCTCCGAGGTACCCACAAGTCTGCAGCGCCCAGCTGGCCGGCCTCTTCGAACGCTTCAGAAGGGTCACTATGTCTTCGGATTAAGTCCTAATATCGGTACTGGAAGAGCCCCGTACCCAGTGCTATTTGCTATTTTTCCCGGCTGCCATACACCTGCAAATGGCCATCGTTTCGTTGACTGGAGAAGGGAGATAATGAAGGCCAGAGGGCACCTCTAAGTAAATGATCGAATGAGGACTTGTGAGGGGTGGTACTGTTTGAGGGGAGCTGTATGAGAGGCATAGGAGGAGACATGCTACTGGCATAGGTATCCTTGGCCCGTAGGTAGAGAGGACCTGCATGTCCTACATAGTTATAGACTCAGACAGGAGAATAAAATTATATAATAACCTTCTAAAACATGTAACTTTCCTAGCCATAATCCAAAATATCATCCCTTTAGAAGTTGTCTCTACCATTTGCATTATCTTGCACACTTGTCCAGATCTCTCTCACGCCCATCTCAAACAACTGCCTCCCAGGTTTGCGCACCACCATTTTTCTCCTCCGAATGATACTCATACCCTTGCGGACGTGTATGGAGGTCATTGAAGGCTAAAGACTGATTAGATGAGAGGTGTGGTCATTGAAAAAAAGAAGTACCAGGTCGTACTTGTAAATTTGATGTGGCTTTTGTGGGGATCAATCTTGTCGGGAATGAGATATAGAGTTGATTGGGAGTGTTAAATAATTGCCTCGTGGGCCAACTTCTTCGATGTCGCAATATTTGACTGAATATGGCTCTGAGAGAAAACTTCACTTTCAGATTCGTCATGAACACTGCGGATAGGTATTCAGTAATTTTCTTCGTTAACCAAAGGCTAACCACGATGTGAATGGCTTTTGTTTGAATTGTTTCATCTACGCACGTCCAATGCTAAATGATGGATTAGGGCAAGGCTCCTAATCCATTTTTTTGATTTCATTAGCAAACACCACAATCAAGCATGATCGCCTCTGGAGGATAATGAGTTTTCACCCTGGAGTATGTGCCTCGGGAAATGCCGACAAGTAATTCGAGAGTACAAAAGTTACGACGGTGATCATTAGAGGCAAGTCTCTGCCTAAGGAGAGGGCAGAGAGCCAAAGAGGATATACCCTTGGTACCTATACATGGAAAAGTCAAGAGTGCATTTTCATGAAGGAATTTATGATGGTAGACACCGAGGTCGTCGTGCCCCATATGGTCACGCACAGGTCCATGACGAATAGATGCAAAGCAGCACGTGCCATGATTTACTTTTGATCCCATGCTTGCTACCGAGTGCCTATTCATTACTCATCCACTAGTCATCACAAGGTTCCAAGAGCCGAGTGAGCATGCCAGGTCAATCTGCCAATCCTACTTGTTCTATGTGAAAATAAGATTCATCATGGCAGAGAATATCAACGCCTCGAACCATGGTCGAACAGCACTCGTTTTGTACGGGTCGGAGACTGGGAACAGCGAAGATGTGGCTTCACAGCTGGGGGATTTGATGAAGAGGCTGAGATTTGTAACAAGGATTTCTGAAATGGATACAGTAGATCTGGTACGTGATATTCTCCAGCAACAAAATTTAGTCACCTACCAGAATTGTGACAATCTACTCATCGAGATAGTAGAATACTTTGCTGAATTTTTCAATCGTCGTCTTCGTCATCTCAACTGCGGGCCAGGGCGAGTTTCCTCAGAATGCTCGCATGTTCTGGAAAAAACTGCTAAGGAAGCGATTGCCTCACGATTGCCTTTGTCACGTGTCATTTACTACCTTTGGCTTGGGTGATAGCTCGTACATCAAGTAGGTGCGCCCTTGATATCTGGGGACATTGCCTCTTACCTTGACGTGTATATGTCTGCGTAGCACATTGTTGATCTCACATCCTAGGTTTAATGTTTCGGCGCGAAAGCTACATAAACGTCTACTCCAGCTTGGGGCGAAAGAGATATACCAACCAGGCGAAGCCGATGATCAGCATCCAGATGGGTGAGAAGCTCTTCAGTACTTGATTCGTGCTGAGTAGCTGGCTTCCTTAACTAACTCAAGTTGTAGCCTTGATGGAACTTACTTATCTTGGTCTCATGGCTTTCGGAGTTTTCTCCTATCTTCATACCCATTAACTGAAAGCTTAGCACCAATTCCACCGGAGGAATTTCTTTCTCCTGAATATTCTATCGATATTGATCATGAATACATAAATTCTACTTCATTCTCACCTATCCAATTTAATGAACGTGACAAAGATTATTACAAACATGCATCGGTCAATTTAAAACCTAAGCTTGAAATAGCCGACACTGTCATAGATTCAGTGGATCAAAGTTCCTCGATTTCAAAGTCATTGCAAAGTCAGTCATGCATCCAATCTTCTCCGGACCTCAAGGATCATCCAGCTCTCGACTTGTCATGCCAATCTCTGCCACCAGAATACGAGCATATTCCTATCCCCAACAGTTATAAAGCTAAGCTTAAGTGTAATAAGCGAATGACACCAAATAGCCATTTCCAAGATGTGCGGGAACTAAGCTTTATTGTGAAGGAGGAATTAAATTATCAGCCTGGTGACTCAATCATTATCTTTCCAAAAAATTTTCCGGGAGATGTTGATACCCTCATCAAATTGATGAAATGGGAAGACGTAGCCGACAAGCCCCTAAGATTTGTTACCCAAAATCCGGAATACACGAGAAGTGATATTCTCGTGCCTCCTACTTCGTACCTTCATACAATCTCTCACACGACTCTGAGACAGCTTCTTACCCACAACCTCGATATTACTGCTATTCCTAAGAGAAGATTTTTCGAATTCATTGCCCAGCATACAGAAGATCCTATGCATCGAGATCGTCTCTTTGAGTTTGCCAATCCAATGTTTACCGATGAATTCTATGACTACACGTCACGACCAAGACGTAGTATACTCGAAGTCTTACAAGATTTCCCCACGGTCAACCTACCTTGGAAATATGTTCTTGCCATCTTTCCTGTTATGCGAGGCCGAGCTTATAGCATCGCTAGTGGAGGTGCTGAAAAGTCCGTGTGTTTAAAATCCGAAAAGGCAGTTCAAATCACGATCCTTGTTGCCATAGTAGAATATAGAACCATCCTGAAGAAGATTCGTCGAGGCCTGTGTTCTCGATATCTTGCCTACCTTAAGGAAGACACAGAAATAAGGATTGTGCTCAAGAGATCAGATAGCTTTTACAAGCTCGCACAGAAATCACCGCAACTTCCTCTAATATTAGTTGGACCAGGAACAGGTATAGCACCCTGTCGCTCTCTAATTCTCGAGCGCGGCCTCCAGATGTTGGCTCCTAATAACAATGTGGAGATTGGGCAAAATTGTCTCTTCTTTGGTGGCCGCAATCGGGCTGCCGACTACTTCTATGAGGAAGAGTGGACGGCAACGCATCTCCGTACTCGCGTTTTCCCAGCCTTTTCTCGAGATCAAGCGAAAAAGGTGTACGTGCAAGATTTGATCCGTCTTGAAGCCAACTTTGTGTCCACCCTGATCCTAGCTCAAGGTGCAATTATCTATGTCTGTGGTAGCTCAGGCAGTATGCCATTAGGAGTCAAGGAGGCTCTCATCTTTGCCCTGACTAGGTGTGAACTAAAGCTCGTCGGGGTCCCTTTCACGCGTGAGAGTGCCCTCTTAAAACTTGCTGAGTTGGAAAAAAACGGTCGATTTATTCAGGAAACGTGGTGATCCTGATATGCTTCTTATCATACATTCATGTTAAAATCAGAGATTAGTCACCTCTGAGAAACTTGGCCTTGTATAATTGTACTTGCCAACATACACTCTATAAAGATACGTGCAATTAGGGTAATAAGAATTTTAAATTTGAAGATAACTAAAATGGAGGAATATTGAGTTATTTCTATTATGACTTATGATCACTAAAATGAGGTTAAGTCTGTGGATCCATATGCTTCAATTTAATACACACTCTTATGCTAATGCTAAGTCTTTGTTTCTCCTGATTTCAATCAGTCCTGACCTGTGTAATTTAAATCAAACCTGATTTAGTAGAGCTTGTATTTTGCAAAGTAATTCTCAAAATCTTTCATAGTTATCAAACCCAGAATGTACATGATTAGCGTCAGGTAAATAATAAGTGAGTCACACGTTTGCCTGGTAGTTGATGGATACCAGCTGGGCTAAAATTTTTAATTTATTTATTTGTATTAAGGAAATGATGACCCCTTAGTCATTGAGGTCGTAGAGCGCATTGATTCAAGTGACTACCGAAGTGAAATTAAGTACAGAATTTGTAGTCACGTGTGTACCAATAACGTGGCCTACTTGCTAGCCCCAATTATTCTACATACTAACGATTTGTGCGTCTTTTGTCTCAGTAGGGACTTAATAGGGTTACTCGCTTGACGCGTGATCCGCCAGACGTTAAATAAAGATAAATAAAATAACGATTTGTACTATTTAGTTTCATGCCTGCGCGGAACACATAAGCTCTTAATATACTGATCAACCCATTCTGAATAAAATTACATGACATGCCGATGCCTAAACAGGCCTAACGTAGCAAATGAAAGCTAGTAACTTTTCATCCTGCGCTCGAACATTAATTTATACATGAATGTCGGCCTCCCGTCGACTATCATGATTTGCCGATGATATTAAGTGAAGAAAAAATAGAATTAAGAAAGGAGTAAACTAGATACACCAGTTCATAATTGCTTTTCAATTAGACTTGTCATTGTGACTTTTCGAAAAATTTTGTGATACACACCCAGTGTTCGTATGACAAAAGTCATACACTAAAAGTTAATTAATGCACTTAAAGCGATGAGATTACTGTCGTATGTGAGAAGAATGATCGTTCAGATAAGTTACGTATTCAATTTGTTTATTTATTTCTGTTGTCCTGGTGCTATAGAATTACCATCTATCTTGGAGGACTAGTATCAGCACCTATCAGTAGTGTCTATTGTGGTATTTATTAATTCAATTTTTTGTTCTACCTGAGTCGATGACTATGTAGGACATGCAGGTCCTCTCTACCTACAGGCAAAGGATACCTATGCCAGCAGCATATCCCCTCCTATGCCTCTCATACAGCTCCCGTCAAACAGTACTACCCCTCACAAGTCCTCATTCGATCATTTACTTAGAAGTGCCCTCTGGCCTTTATTATCTCCCTTCTCCAGTCAACGAAACGATGGCCATTTGCAGGTGTATGGCAGCCGGGAAAAATAGCAAATAGCACTGGGTACGGGGCTCTTCCAGTACCGATATTAGGACTTAATCCGAAGACATAGTGACCCTTCTGAAGCGTTCGAAGCGGCCGGCCAGCTAGGCGCTGCAGACTTGTGGGTAAAGAAGACTATTTGTTGGAAATTCTGACTCTCGACTTGTCAGTCAAATAGACTCAGTCAGGATGTTTGAGAAAAGAAGTTCTTGTGCATGTCCCTCAAGCTATGTGTAATCTCTATCTATATACATCACATCCCCCAAACTCCGATCTCATCCTTTGTCCTTGATCTAGACTACTTCGCTTTTGAATTCTTTGAAAATACCGTCTCCCTTCCCGGCTTTCCACTAACTCCGATATATAACTCAATTGAATACTACCCTACAAATTCATCAGAATAAATAATCATAAATTCACTGAAATGTAACCCAAACAAAGGAAATTCTGCTCAACACGACTTTAGGACTCAGCCATTATCTATTTCATCTCAGGTTCCCGACAAGATCGACTCTCTCTACACATGTCGCTGGTGCGCTGATTGCGCCTACTGCAGCATATACGTTTATATATATACATGCTACAGTGCACCTTGGCTCATCATGGTGGATGAGAGGTAGCTGGTCATCACTAGGTTTGACAGGCACATGAGACTAGTGTGTTACGGTTTGACCGTTGTTTGAGCTTAGGTGGATACCTAAGCCTGTTACTAAGAATTCTTACTATGAGGCTGTATGAGGGGGAGATGAAGCTGAACGAAACGGGACTACTACTCAGGAGGCTGAAGCGTTATTACAACTTAGTGACACCTGGAAATACGTGGCTGGGTAAGAAGTATTGTGCCTAAGGACAAGTCACTAGTCTGTAGATCCTCGAGGAGGATCAACTCCTATAAATACCTGTTAGTAGTGGCCAGAGTTAGCTTTTCTCCTCATATAGTTTATTAAATCGATTTATTCATCACCAACTTGGTTTCCGTCACATAGTGGGAATTTCTCCCCTAAGATGTATATATAAGTACAATGTTCTCACAGTTATAAAATATTAAGTCTTCTTTGCTTCATCACATATCCTTATAATATTGTACAGAATATATTTTCCAAAACTATTTGAACTACAAAACAATGTCATGGAAAATCAATCCATCCACTTATTCAGCTACATATCAACCCAAATTTATTCAAACAACTCAGCTACCTGCAGAAGTACCCAGAAAGATTGCAAGCTCTTTCTACCCTCCAAAACTTGGCCACGGACATTTCCGAGGATATATGTACAAGATAAAGAGACATAGCACTTGTCACTGTGATTGCAATAGAATAGCCGAGCAAACAATTAGACACTTAATACTGAAGTGTATCAAATACAAAATTTAACTAAAGAAACTACTTGGGGACCTTAGAGTGGAAAGACTAGCAATAGAATTACTTCTCAATAAAACCAAGGGGATAAAACTAACACTAGAATACCTGAGGACTACCCACATTGCAACCTTGAAATAGAACAGTGATGGAGAATAGCCTGATTAGGGAAGCCATAAATTGAAAGAATAGGCATCACAGAAATTTAACTCAACTTTTTAATTTGTTTTAAATAACCCACTAATCAGCTTACTGAATCAGATATCTTTCATACTATATCCTAACCATCTCTAACATTGCATACCCACAACTATCATCTTGAAATAGAGTCCAATTTATTTCCAAATACTTAGCGGTGCAATGGCTTCTGCCAGCGCATCGTCCTCATCGATGGCTGCTAACCTCAGCGCAACAATTCACCCAACTCTGATGGGTATTGCCGAGGCAATGCAAAAAGCAGAGCAACAAAGGAAAGAAAGACTGGATCTTGCCCAGGAATTCTTAGAAATAATCGACGCCTAGGCTAAAATCAAGGCAGGAACAGCGGCGACGGCCACAGTGACGCCTCTTATAGAAAGTATAGCGACAATAGTAACGTCGTTTACTATTAGAACCACACAGGCAAATGAAACCCCCCGTAAGACCCAACAACTCTCGAAGAGCGCGATAACAACAAAGGCTCCCAGGGCGAACAAAATGCCCCCAAAAGAAGATAAATGAATTTTTCTTCGACTGTCACCATAAAAAATTTAATCACGGAGCGAGCTGGAGTAGCGGCATCTGCAATCGTGCAGATGTGTTAGGTCCGATCTGACCTGGCCTTTGAATGCGCTTCAGACGTGCTAAGAGAAACAGTTCTGGGTGTTGCCCTATCCTTCCAGCAACAGAAGATCACCATCGAGCCGGCCTCAGATTGGGTCTTGGTCATTGTCCCATACGTCCCTCTTTACATCAGAAGCCTTGAAGGCAGCATTTCAGTTACATGTGAAATGGTAAAAACAGATTGTCAGTCTGTCTGTGGGGTCACAACAGTTATGGTTCGGCCAAATCAAGTAATATTGTGTCAATATTCCACAAGCTGGATATTGCAATTCATACAAAAACTAGTGAACCTGAAATTCAGGTTCTTCGACGAGAGTGGACCATCGATGCCGTTTTCACGCCGATAACCTATTGAACAATGTCAGCGATGTTTTGGTTTCCACACAACAAGAGCTTGCACCAAAAGACAGAGATGTAAACGTTGCACGGGAGCGCACGAGAAAAAAGAGTGCCCGGCAAAGGTACCAAAGTGCTCTGTCGGAAAATATGGTTATTTAGAGACAATCATATCACCCACTAAGTAGCAGTAGTGTTTGGATCCCTCTGATTAGTCTAAAGTGTAGGCCCTCATGTACGCTTATTGATCGCACTAGCGCCTTGGCATCTACATAGGGTAACTCACTAGATAGCTTAGATAGAGAATAGAGAAGAATAACTAACCCCTCTGAAATTCAGAACCTATTGTGCTAGCACATTTAATACCCGTGATATACCGACACTGATCAGTGAATCCGCATACACGGTTCACAGATTCGCAAGGTATACAGCGAAGGAACGCAAGTCAACCCTGACTACGTGTCAAGCCTCGAAGTCGGAATTGGATTAGATACATCCTAATCCAAGGAACATTTCACGCGTCCATTACGCAACCACCACATCTTTTTGAGAATATACCAACCGGTCAACTTCTCGATAAAGACGACAATATGACTCCCAAACTTCCGCCCTCGATGATTGAGGAACCATCCGAGCCTAACCCCACAGAACTTGCTGAGTACATCTACGATCTAATAGATGCATGGAACATTGTTATGATGGGCATGTTATACAGCTAGGATACTTGCATGTACATAACGTGATTAGATGTTTACGCTGTTTGTGTAGTTCCTGTATCGTTTGGGATATCTGCAGGAGGAAGCTCATGTGGTCAGGAGCCGACTAGCGGCCGCACATGAGTATAAGTAGCGAGTGCTCGGCACACGATTGGGAGAGTACAATTAAAATACAGTGAACCTCAGATACACCTTAAACCACAACCTGAACTCATCAATCTACATACTCGTACAAGATCAGCATGCATAGTGACACTAAAC